TAGTACGCGGAGTAGCTGGGGAGCTGGAAGATGAGAACTGGCGACTTGGTAGTACAACTGTAGTACGCGGAGTATCTGGGGAGCTGGAAGATGAGCACTGGCGACTTTGTAGTACAACTGTAGTACGCGGAGTAGCTGGGGAGCTGGAAGCTGAGAACTGGCGACTTGGTAGTACAACTTTAGTACATTATGCCCCATATTGCGGACGTGCGACCACCGCTGGGGTTGTTGGCTAGTTGTGGCTGCGCACACCTGTGTGCACAATACCTCGTACATCCGTCGTGCACACCACTCTCTTACACCTTCTCTCCCACCCCTCTGTTGTCGGAAGCTGATATCACTTCCTGACAAGGCCGTGTTGTAGAAGCTATTGAGACTCTGACTGCTTTGTGCTTTAGAAACTTAAGATTCGCAAAGACTCATATGTGGGGCTTTCCGGTCCTTTAATTCCTGATGACAGGATGAGGGAAGCCGGGGGCTCAGAAAACACCCAGGATAGCCTAGCAGCTCCAACAGTGCTAAGCATTTATGAGAGCCTGGCACAAGGGCATTGTGGAGGTTCAAATACATTCCAGTAATTAGAGAGAATTCAAGGGGACAGTTTCTTGGTTCAGGTGCTCCGCCCGTGTCCGGAGCACAGACAGTCTTGCCGACAATATGACAATGGCAAACCAACATCGGAAGATGATTGATGTAGATGAAATGTGGCTTTGCAGATTTAAACTGGCTGCAGTTCCTACTCTTGTTGCATTCATTTGTGCAGCTGTCTCAAGTGGACATCATGCGCCGACTTTTGGTCGCACATAGTACATGGGAGAGGAAATTTTTGGTCACCCTCAGCAGGAAAGCCGGCCAACCAGCGGGGAAAGGGGCCATCCATTTTAGACCAAGCTTCTTGTTTGCAAGGGCTTTTGTCAATTGCTGCACAAGATGATCAGAATTTGCAAAACCGGGACAAATGATACCAGCCAGAGTTCCTTGTGGCCCCGGCACATTTTCTTCGTATCATGTGCGTGGAGCCATGCAATCAGTTTTTGGTGCCTGCGCTGTGAATTGTGCAGTGTCCATTGTAAGTACTTGCCTCTACTACTCAGAGCTGCATCACTTGCGGGAATTCCCATTTTTCGCGGCACAACTGAATGCGGCGATCGGCGCATTTTTGGCAGGACTGTGGTTTGCTGCTTTGCCAAAAGGGACACAACAAGTGCCACAGTGGCAGCAGTGGGCTTCGCTCAGTGGGCTGCTAGCTCTTCAGAACACATTGGAGATCCTGAGCATTCCGCGCGTAGGCAACGAGGATTTACCTCCAATCCTGCAGCAGGCAGTGGTGCCTCTATCTTTGCTATTCTCTTGGCAGCTACTGCGGCGAAAGTACAGCAAGGTCCAACTATTGGGTGCTACAATGGTTGTTGCTGGAGTGACAGCCGGCTTCCTCCCCAGCTTATGGAACACTGGAGGCAAAACTGTCAGTCCATCGTGGGTGGCGATTTTTCTGCTCTCCCGGGTCCCCCAAGCAGCTGCGAATGTCGCTGCCGAATCTTTGGCTGAAAATCATCAAGGGCTGTCTTGGCCAATCAGAGCCACTTTATATACTCAGCTTCTTGGGCTACCATGCAATTTGGTGGCTGGGCTGATTGCATCATACATTTGGAAAGGAGAGGCCGCTGTTGTACTGCAGGACTACACTAGTGGTCTAGACTGTCTCTTTCACGGTGGTGGTTCATGTGCTGGAACGTGGAGTTCCGTGTTGCTGTTTGCAATACCGGGAATGCTCTACACGTTGACTGAATTCCACGTCTTGCAGGTCGCTTCAGCCACCGCATATTTCCTTCTGGCTGCTTTGCAACTGCCACTGCAAGACTTAGCCCTCTCTCTTCTGAATGGCACTTTGGCCAGCTTTCATATGTCGATGCTACCAGCCATATTGGCTGTAGCACTAGGGCTAGTACTCTATGGCCTTGGATCACCTACAGAGCGGCATTGACTCCAGGACCCTTGGACATTTCAGATCATGAAACTCAACTGCTGGATAGAATAGTCTAGTTTAGTATTTGCATGAACTTTGAAGGGGATGACTGGGTGGCATCAGTGCTCATAGAACCCAGGAGCAGTTTTCTCACTTGGGGCATGCGTGGTTAGGTAGGTGCTCCACGGCCAGATAGTGCTTGGCAAGCAGGCCAATGGTGGTCATAGCATGCTCTGTCCTTTTGTGTGGCCAGATTGTTCTTTATTCGGTCAAGAGGCTGACCGAGAGTTATTGAGTGGCTATTAAATAGCCTGTCATTGCACAAGCTTCCTGCGAGAAACGGGGTGCATCATCATCACTTCACATCCCAAAGGTGATGAGGTTGTAGCATTATTATAGCCAATTCTGTTTAGCGAAACGCAATGCCAGAGAAGCTGAGATTTTTAGCAAACATTCTTTTTAATTGGACTTTTTTGCTCACAACATGTCGAACCGAGGTCTTCAAGAACGGAACCTCTTACTGCACGCACGGAGGACAGGCACCCAGGTATTCCTGCGATGCCATTGTTTGACCCGCTGGGTGGGGTCTATGTCGATCCGTATCTGTGTTGACTTTATGGAAGTGCAACTGGGTGTGGGTTGCAACTACCAGTCCTCCAGCAGGTGCCACACCCAAGCAGTTAATTGGAAAGCCCCGAGGACTGAAGAAATAAGCTAGAGTCAAAACCCAGCATGCATAGCAAGGCAAGTAAGGAAGATGCCAGCCAAACCAAGACATAATGCAGGGCCTTGGAACGACAGCTTCCAACCAGTCAAGCGTCCAAGTTCAAAGTTTCTACAGTGCTTGATGAAACATGATTTGGGCGTTCTTTTGGTGGAACCGCGTCCAAACATGTCCAGACAACCAAACAGACAGATCGCAGCACACAGAGCTGAAAAGACAAAGCACGAATCTCTACAGATTGTGAAAGCTTTAAAGAACCATGAAGAGAAGAAGCAACACTTGTCCGGAACATGTCCCGAGCTGGAAATCCTGAAACATCCAAAGGCCAATGCTAGATCTAAGGAAATGTGAAAGGAACCGGGAACAGTAAATTTCAGATTCAAGCTTTTTCTAAAACACTGCCATGAGGTTACGACGCCTTTGTCTGAAGCCAGAATCCAATCGGGACAATCACGACAAATTGACTTGCTTTCTGCAAGATGTATTTGGTTTTCTTGCAGTTCAGCAAACTTGATGCTTGTAGGTAGTGAGCCGTAGAAAAGCGGATAGACCACTGTTATCCAAGAGAGACTTTGCGTGAGGTGTCCCCCATCGTTCACGAAGCCCATCCTGAGAGAGCAGATGCAAGGCGTGGAGCCAGATCAAAGTTCATGATTTCGTCCAAAATGATGAGGTGTTCTGATCCCTTAACGAGGCAGGCTCTAAGGAGCCTTATTGAAGAGATGCTTGCCATCCTTTTTGTTCACAAACGGTTTACCGACAAAAGGCTCAGGACAATGGGCTCACCACGACGGCTGCGCGGTCCGCCCCTTCTACCGCCTTGTCCCTTGTGGTCTGTGTGTTTCGCTTGGCCTCGCCTTGTCAGGGGCTCCAGCACCTTGTCCGGGCCTTATCCAAGCCTTGTCTGGGTCTCTGCTTATCACCGCCTTGTCCGGGCCTTGTCCCTGCTTAGCCGCGCCCTTTCCTTTTGTCACCGCCTTGTCCTAGTTTGTTTCCTTGTGACAATGAATGCAACAGTAATGCAGCGCTTCAACTTTTTGTTTACATGCCGTTCCCAAAAAGCTGAAGGCTATAGGCTAATTTCAGACGTTTCCACCAACAATTGATGAAACACATCCTGCTGAAACTGTTCGGGGTCTATGTCTGTGCTGGTATAATGTATCATCATTTTTGGTTGCAGTGGGTAGGCCTATCTCAGTGCCTCCACTGGCCATTGCCACCCTTCAAGAGGCGTCGGTACAAGATGGATTGTTTTGGAGCTTTCACACCTTGGTTCGTGGGTACGCGACACGAGGCCAGCTTCGATGAAGGGCTTGTTGTGGTTTGTGAGCAGAATGAGGCTTTCCAGACTCTTCCTTCAAAAAGGGTGGACTATGCCAGAGTTGAGACAGTCTTAAAGCTCTTGCAGGCACACTTGGTGCCAGTACCTGAGGAGCAGGGTGATTAGTTCATATTAGTTCTTGATATTGCATCAGCATTCTTCGTCTCGTGCGCAGGAGAAACGCCGCTCCTTCGGGGATATCCGAGCACAGCGCTGAATTTTTTTGCGCAGTTGTTTGCTGTGGGGCTCCGCATAATCCCTGCAGCTACCTAAGGATCAGCTCAAGACGGAACCCTCCAGGACCTGACCCTGGGCATCGTGATTGATTGAGACCAGCGTCCTGCTTCTCTGAAACAATTTGGAGTAGATCGAAGCTTTTCGGGATGCTTACCCTTGGTCCAGTTACTGCGATTAGCGCACATCAACCATATCTACAGTATATTTATAAGAGAGCTCGAAGTTATGCGGGTGTGGTTTTTATGCGTTTTGGTGGTGTTTTTCTTAGATTTTGTCATGTGTTGAAAGAGTTTCCACGGTTGCGGTCTAGATTCTAGATATGTTCTTGTGCTCCTGTTTCCCAAACAAAACCAACTCTTCTTTTTTAAACAACCTCTGGATCCGACTCTACCCTTCCTTGCCCATAAGCATTCTCATTGTTTCAAAGGCTAGCGCTTTTTGGGCTTCTCCCTCCACATTCTTTATGAAATGGAGAGAAGATCATTATCTTGAAAAACAATGTGCCCACCAGGCCCAGCAAAAGTTGAGAAACTTGCTTAGTAGTAGTGGACCTGGATGACTGATTGGAATTGGGCTTTGCATGGCCTTCTTGACGTCCATACCCATAATAAGCCTCATCCTCATTCTCAGGGTCGTAGGGAACTACTCTGCGAGCATTGGGAGTTCACATCCTATCCCACAAGTTCGATTGGACCAAACCTGCTCATCTCCACTGCTCTCACCCAATGGCTCTTCAGATCTATGCTCCATATCCCCCCATCTACGACGAAGTCTTCCAAAGACTCTTATCAAGCCCATGGAGCGATCCAGCCATAGATACACTGAGGGTCTGAATTGGCTGTGTGGCCACTACTCATTCCCAAGCTCATGAAGAACCTTCTCTTCAACCCAACCTTCTTGCCCACACATAGACATACATGAAGTCAGGTTGTACCAAACCTGGCATGCTCAGCATGCTCCCAATGTTCACAATGTTCACCCAACATTGCCAAGGACATTCTTTCTCGTGATGCCACCCAAGCTCAAGACCTCATTGGACCTCACCAACGCCCACCCAAAAGTAAACCAATAGATTGTGCAAAAAATATACCCTACCAATTGCATGAATCATAAGGATCAACCAATGTTGTACATCTGGGGGGGGGCGCGAAAAAACAAACATTGCTCGTGGAATTGGACAACCAACTATTACTATTATTATATATGTTTATTTGTTTGGCGCCCCCCGCCAGAGAAGCCCAGACCCAGGCCCCAGTTGCTGGAGATTGAGGACTCATTGAGATTGGAGGTCTTGGAGACCAGATCCCCCTCATAGAGGTGATGACCTGATGATGTATGATGTGATGTCATGGACTTTCTGATAGATGATGGTTGATGGACTTCTGTGTGGGAATCGTGAGAGCTAGTATTTTTGCAAAAACTTGATGAGAGATCTGACAGATTACACGTCGACATTTTTGCTAGACACATTCTGCAAAACAACCAACATTTTTAAAAACCGTAGAATAACCACACACCACAAAAACGCGTAAAAACCACATCCGTATAACTTCGTTTTCTGATTTATAAATAGGTCTGGGTTTTTTGTTGTTCGCTTGCATAGATTTCTTGGCCATATCACAATACATCCAGTGAAACATGTGTGGGGTTTTTCTGGTCGGTCTCAATGCCAGGACCTCACATCCCTTGTCTCAGCCCAAGTCGATGCAGCGCCGACCTCAGATGCAACATGATTACAGGAGTTGGATGCCACAGCAGTCTTAATGGAGATGATAAAATGTGAGGCCTGCGAAGCCACTTCAGGTAAACTTTTCTCAACAGAGGCTGTGGAGCCTAGAACGGCGTAGAAGCTGCTTGGCCGTTGGCCAACCTTTTGATATGCTCCATTGACTGCTCTCCGAAAGTCCATACAAGTTGAGAACCTGACAGGCTCAGCCAAGTCTGCCTTCGGGATGTTGAGGTGCCAACGAAGAACCTTTTTCTTCTTTCCTGGGAAGACTTCCCCTCCAAGCAAATTTGACTATTGATGAGCACAAACGGATAATGACCGCTTTCTTGATCAAGGGAGAGAGGGAGAGGGAGAAAGTTCACATGAATTGGCGTGGGATAAATTACGCATGAGGTATCACTTTTACTTGAACTGATGTCTGGATAAGAGGAGCATGACGATCGGGGCCATGGTAGCGCAACTGGAGAAGCTCTCAGATCTGACACAAGAAAACCAAACAAGTGGCACAACACTTGCAGGCAGGTTTCTATCCCTGACTCTAGACATCAGACGTGATGGCTTTTTGCTGGCTCACACTGAGGCACGACGATCTACGACGATTTCCGGGGCTTGCCCAGAAAGCTCCAAGAGCAGGTAGTTCGGAAGCCCAGCTCTCTTTGAGAATGCGTGACTATCAACTTCGACGTTCAGCTTTATGTAGTAGTTTTTTCCTCGGCTCGGCATCACTCTACTTTTGCCCGGATTTGTGCGGCTTGATATCTCCTTTTTGACTTATGAAGGCGTTCCTATATTACTGCAAGTCTTGCAACTGGGTCTGGTTGTCTCATGTCTCAAGGCTTCCTTGTACCAAGAGCTGGAGGAAACCAAGGACCGCTCACGCAGCTCATGCCCCAAAGTTGCTTTCACTGGCACCTTCTGTGACAGATTGAGATTGAACTGCAGCATTACATTCACAGACACCATAAACAAATGGCAAATAGACCAGGAATGCAAGCGGCGCGCAGAGCAAGAGAATGTAGAGATCATGAACTATTTGTCAGCCGCGAATCCAAGAGAAGTCATCGAATTGCGAGTCAAGTCACAAGGCTCAAGTTAGGTCCTTTTGACCCGAGGCAATCCTGAACGACGACACCCCTGCGCAGTACGCACTAACTATGGGACCATTAGACTCTCTTCCACCAGGACTAGTTGTGTTTCTTTGAGCAGAGTGAGTTCCTTTGGCATCAAATTCAACTCTTGACGAGGACCTCAAGAAGAGGAAGAGGAGGGAGACGAGGAAGGAGGAAAGCTCCCGGCGGAAGAAACGGCATCTCCATTGAGAGCTCCTGAGTGGGCTGCTGAGCGAAGATGTGCTCATGTAGAAGATGCCAGCATACTTGTTTTCCTTGTGGTTCAGAGAACTGAAGCAAGTCCTCTCAACAGCCCTACAGGAACCACGCAACAAATCTGGGGTCAAAATAGTCAAAGGTGCCGCTCTTCAGGGCTACTTTGGAGGATGGAAAAAAAGGGGTCCATTGGGTCCCTGGAAGCTCATCACCCAAAGCCGAATATAATCTTAGAACGTCGAAAAGCATCGAGCAATTCTTTTTCACAAGAGATTGACACCCAATGAATGAGATGAGTTGACCACTTCTCAGCCTGTTCAGCTGCATGGTCCACAAAGTCTACATGCTACATCATGCTACCAAGTATAGAGGACACGCAACAACACTTTGTTCACTTAAGGCCATTTGAACCGCCACCGCCGTTGCCTTTTCCTGCAGAGCGCGTGTCAGCGGCTGGGGAACCTACTGGACCATGCTGTGCCGCTGAGAGAACGCTTTATTCTATGATTTCTCAAGTAGCCTCGAGCTTACCTTGAGGCCCCACACCTGGTTTCGCAGCCACCTCCAGCTCCCGACTTCTTGTCCAAACCGCTGGTAAGGGGCTGAGTATGAAGTTGAGAATGAGCTAATTGTGGACTTGGAACTTGGAACGCTACATAATCGATTACTGTATATATATATAATTGGATATGGAATTGACCTCATCATTAGCCGGGGCCGGCCCAGTGTCTTCTCCTGTCAAAGCCTGAAGAAGAAATAAGGTGAACATAAGCTTTGGTGGTGGACCGCCGGAGAGCTGGGGATCAAGCCGAGCCCCGAGTTTGGTCCTTCTTCCCACAACTGATTTCTTGCATGTTAGGGGTGAGGTAGTGAGGCAAACATGTCAGATCATGTTAGCTTATGAGGTAGCAAGGACGCTACTAGGGGCTCCTGGCCATACTACTAGGAGCATTCTTGCCACTATGTCACTAGGAGCATCATGTAGTGAGTTTAAGACTTCTTTCACTTCCGCCGATGCACGACGATTTCTGCAACTCAGGCACTGAGACCCGACGCCCTGCGGATGTCCTCCAGGACTACAGTGTAAGCTATATGAGGAGTCATGAGTAGCGAAGTAATGCACATTCAATAAGTTCGCCATGGTTCACTCGTTGACAAACATTGTCGCCTTTTCATTTGTGGATTTTGTATCTTAAAGGAAATTTGAGGTGTCAAATGCAAAAGAGTAGGTCCTTGGAGCCCCAGGAGTCACTGGCCACTGTGCTTCCAACAGCTTTCCGTCAACTCCTTGACCGCCCGCAAGCCTTAGCAGAACAGCAGATGCAGCATTTTCAAGAGAGGCCGCTAGTTGTGCGCGATGGGACATAATATTGACGCTTGTATCCCCGAGAAATTCAGTTGCATGTGTTTCATGTGGAAAGACTTTCTGCTTCTTTCATTGATCATTCGGACATATGTATGTCTTCTGGAACGACTGATGATGTCCACCGCGAAGATTTCATGATTTGAAGGCAGCAGTTGCAGCAGAGCCTCCAGCAAGTGCAGCAACAGCTTCAGCAATTGCAGCAACAGGTAAGCCAAGGCAAGCTAGCGCATTTGCATGTCAAGACTGAAACGACTGAAGCACACTCCAAGTATAGCTCCAATGGCAGATGGCTTGTAACATGGCAGCTGTGTTCAATAAATGGCTCACCGACTTTGTAAGAATTGAATTCAAGCGCCATGGACCACTTCAAGGTCACATTACCACCAGTTTGGTGGCTGCGTTTAGACAACCGACTGGTTCAAACTCTTGCGTTCAGCACTGCCCCCGTCCCCCCACAAAGAGGTTTCTGCCACAGACATTGCTTTGCAGGTTGTGTTGAGACGACATGAATCCTATCCAAAGCAGTGTAAGTCTAAGACTAAGATGCCAACAACACCGAAGCAGGGGTGCTTGGTGGCAGGACAAGGGTGATTTTTGGGATTTGATTAAATTGTCAATCTGCCGCGGTGCTTGTATCACAGGTCGGGTAGAAACCCAAACAGACTAGGTTGGGCTGAGTCGCAGTGAATCGCTGTGAGATCCGTGAGGAAAGAAGCCCGAAACGCCGCTTCATTCGCAGTGCTTCGCCTCAGGATTTGCTGCACTGAGCGTAAACACCTGAGTCACTTGCTGTTTTTGACAGAATGCACGGCATCATCGGTCACCCATGCATAACACGCACAAATCAAGAAGTGCACCAACCGATGTATAGGCTCAAGCCTGTGGGAAACACGTTTTCCGCTTCGCATGGTAGCGGAGCTCTGGTCGTAAGAATCGGAGCTCCCTACCGACGTCACCCTTTCGCACCACGACGCGCCATAGCGGCCGAAGATCCAGGGCAGTGGGCATTGGATTGGTGGAGCTTTTGCTCCTGGCGTGCATCGCCAGTGGTGCTGGCGATCGATTTTGTCAAGAGCTCAATCAATACAGGCCGTGGGCCGTGATGGAGGAAGTGAAGCCAGAGGAGGTGCATACAAGTGAAGGATACCTGATCTCCACGAAGTTCGTCTACTGCTGGAAGCATAGAGTCGAGCGTGGAGGATGGCTTCGAAGAGCACGTCTGGTAGCCAGACAGTTCAAGTCCAGTGTAGTGTGGACATGGAGCAAACATTCGCTCCGACATCGATGCTAGTGATACCGAAGATGCTCATCAACCTCATGCTGAACGTCTTCAAGCATTTCATGGCCATGACGTTGGACATCAAAGACGCTTTTCTGATGGCCGCGCAACCTGAAGATGAGAAGGCCTATGTGGAGGTTGATGGCAAGGTCTATAGACTGATCCGACGCCTGCCCGGACAACGAACAGCAGCATCGCAGTGGTTTCAACTTTTCACTGGAGCTGCAAAGGAGTTTGGCATGGAGCAGGACATCATGCAGCCTACACTGCTGATGATCCACAAGGTGATCTACATCACGGTGCATGTGGATGATGTCTTCATGGTCGGTGACGAGAAGGCCATAGATGAAGAAGAAATGGAGCATCGAGGAGAAAGGACCTTTCTTGATGGGAGAGCGATTCTCCTATCTGAAGAGAGACTTCACCCTCTACAGGAGTTGGTGCGACATCCGCTGTGACTACAAGCAATATGAAAGTCTTGGCAAGGAGATGGACTTGTTCAAGAAGGCCTACAGAAAGACACCTATGGAACAAAGTTTCAGCAAGAGAGATGAGAGCGAAGAACTCCAAGGGGCCGAAGTGACAAAGTACAGGAGTGTTGTTGGGAGGCTGATGTACCTCTCAGGTGAGCGCCCAGATGCTCAATTTGCCATCCAGAACCTAGCCCGCTTCATGTCTCGCCCTACGAAGCAAGCCTGGAACAAGGCATGGCGTGTGTGTTCCTTTTTGCAAGGCGCAGAGGGCTATGGAGTGAGGCTGACAGCAAGATCCAAAGGACAACCGGTGATGAACTTGAAGGACTCCGAAGAGGTGGAGGACAAAGAGCTGCATCTCCTGGAAGTGGTCACAGATGCAGACTATGCAGGTGATCGAAATGACCGCAGAAGCATGACATCCTTTCAGGTGTTCATCGATGGAAACCTCATGGAGTCAAGGGTGAGAGCCCAGAAGGCGATATCTCTTTCATCAGGGGAGTCAGAATTTGTGGCTGTGGTAGCAGGATCTTCGGATGGACTGCTCATCAAGCACCTGTGGGAGAAGATCGCAGAAGAGAAGTGTGAAATGAAGGCGCGGTCCGACAGTTCAGCTGCAAGGGCAATGGTTCAAAGACAAGGCATCGGTCGTGTCCGACACTTGGACGCTTCGCTGCTCTGGGTTCAGCAGAAGGAGAAGGAGAAGACCCTGAGCATTGGACCCATCCCAACAGATCTCAACTGTGCAGATTTAGGCACCAAAGCCTTGACCAAGAAGCGCATGATGGGACTCCTCTACATGCTGAAGATGGTGCAGCACGGAGGAGAAGAGGAGTACAAGGAGCTCGAGCACCGAGAGCAGATGAAGAAAGGGTTGAAGAAGTTGAAGAAGGTGATGAAGAACAAAGACCTTCACATCGGGCTGTTGCTGATGATGACAACAATGGATCAGGCAGCAGCAAGCAACATCCCTGAAGAGAACGAGAAGGAGGATGAACAGGGGTGGCAGAGGATGATGTTCTGGCTATGTGCCATAGTGGGTGACAGAATGCACAGCATCATCGGTCACCCATGCATAACACCCACAAATCAAGAAGTGCACCGACCGATGTATAGGCTCAAGCCTGTGGGAAACACGTTTTCCGCTTCGCAATTTTTGTTGGTCCCTTCCTTTTGTTGTAAGAAACAGTAGCAATTCCCAACATCCAAGATTTCGGGCACGCGGGCACGCCCCCAACTTCAATGTTGGTGTCAAGAACCACAACCACAGCCATGCTGCAATGCTGTTTTTCCCTCACGACTCCGACTTCAATATTGAAAGCGCCCTGGTGGCTGTAAACGGATGGACTGCAACCTTGTGTAGTGTAGTCCATGGCTGGATTCTCCGAAGAACCTAACATGCATTTTGATAAAGCACTTGGTGGGCCAAGTCAAGAAAGATGCAGGTCGTGTTGAGATTGAAGTGGCCCTTACTAGGAAGTTTAAGGAGGCTAAAAGAATCCGTGAGTTGCTGGCATTGCTTCTTCATTTGTATCAGCCAGTTGTCAGTTGTCTGTATTCTGCTGGCCGAGGCGCTCCTTGTTAGAGCAGCTCCGGGCTGAACTGGCTGCGGAGCGGCGGCACATGCAGGAGCAACAGCGACTGCAAATGGAGCAGGACGACATCAGGAAGATGCCATTTCTCGAACATCTTAGGAATTGACGGATTGTACTCGTAGAAAGTGTTCGCTCGTCGTTCTTTTGTTTGCGCCAGGAGCAGCAGAAACAAGTTCAGCAACAGCATTTGCTTGAGCAACTCAGTCGACAGATGCTTCAGACTCCGCAGGATCAGCACCCTGGCTTGAAAGACCGACCCCATAGTCTGATTGTGGCGCGGTCGGACAATGTGATGCCGGGTGCAAAGTTTTAATATGCCGAGAGATTTGCCAGTTAAGCAATGTCACGAATATTATTCGACCTTGAACCTCAAGTGGAGCTTCATGCCAAGGCCACACTTGTCCTCGGAGGTTCAGAGGATGCTTTCGGAGCTCAGGACAGGTAGAGGTTTTGCATACATGCATCACAAGAAGAGTTTAGTGCATGGGACTCTAGCAGCCTAGCACAGCATGTAATGCATTTGCTTGATCCACTTGGAATAAGAACAATGTAACCAAGTTCGTCTTCCAGGCAGAAAGGGAGAAGCAGAAGAGTTTGTACATGTGTGGCGCTTTGGCAGACACCTGACTTGGGATTTGTTTTGAATGCAGTCGCTGCAGCCATTTTT